TTAGAGCTTTGATAGTTTTGATGAAAGAGACCACCAAAGGGTGACATAACTGTTATTTTTTCCAGTACTGTTTTACCTGAACAGATATACGTACACAACTATCTCTGTAAAGTAAACTTACTAACTAAGCTAAAAGCAGATATGTAGTGTTTACCTTTTTACGCTGATCAGACTGCATTTTGAGAGACAGTAGCAGCCAAAAACCAAATCCCAGCTATCAATAGCAGATACTAAATTACCAAATGGAGCTAAAGAAGTTGACTTTAACAAAAATCTTTCTTCGAATCAAAGCCCAGAAGCACCCAAGAAACAATAACTATAGAAGAGAACAGAGCGCGCGATAACTTTTCAATAAAAAACAAGAACCCAAGAACCCCTGAATCTGCTGGAAAAAATGAATGCCCGAAAGCGGTAAAGATAAGAACTTCCAGGAGATAGAAAACGGGAATCTTGATGGGTTTCAGCTCCAGGGTGTGTGGGTCAGGAGATTCTTGGAAGAAGCGCAAAAAAAGATAGATACGGAGTATATAGGAGTAAATACAGCTGTGATTGGGAGTGTTCCTCGAATTTCCAGCGATAAAAAACAGGTGGCTGTGAATTAATTGATGCCTCCGCAAGTTGGAATTTCTATGAGGGAAATGAACTAGCTAACGGTAAGGGTGGGTATCACTAAGCAGCTTAGCGAGAGTAGATCTCGAAAAAGAGAAGAGGGACAGAGGAGGGAGGAGAGACAGGATATATCCTTGAGAAGAAATTGGTGTCTGGCGTTTGCCGTTTGATCTTCTTTGAATGTGGACTTGCTTTGCGTACGAGTGTTTGGAACCTTTTCCCCTTTTTCTTTTATCTTCCTTTCCATTTAAATTGGGGGAATAAGGATGTTTTCTTTTGGACTGAAATTTGCTGGTCTGGTCTGGTCTGGTCTGTTTAAGTCTGGTCTGGTCTGGTCTGGTCTGTTTAAGTCTGGTCTGGTCTGGTCTGGTCTGGTAAACGTCTGGTCTCTGTGTATTTTATAACTACGGAAGTCTGGTCTGGTCTGGTCTGGTCTGTTTAAGTCTGATCTGGTCTGGTCTGGTCTGTTTAAGTCTGGTCTGGGACTGAAAACAGTCCAAAAGAAAACATCCTAACTGTGTCCATGGATATATATGTATAGTAGCTTTGTTATATTTGTGTTACTCCGTATAATAATTGCGAGTTTGAAATATCAGGATTTTAAATTAAGTCAACTGCAATGGTGACAGGTGTAATTATATTGTGGAATGAAGGGTTGATGTCATTTAGTTGCATTTACAATGATACAAATAAGTCATATTGCACTCAAAACTTAAATTCAACCCATTAAGAAATGGGAACTAGGAACAAACATTTCATACCCCTCCTCATAATATTCTCATCTAATCATAATTTTTGAAAATAATCTCACATTCTCACTTATTCTTTTGCTTGGCTCGCCTCGATGGCCGCAAAGATATGACCAAAACGTCATGATGTGAGTACGACGAGTCAGGCATATCCGTCTCATCGATAGTGATGGGTACATTTCTCCAAGCGTCCTGTCATGTCACAATAGGGATGACAATTGTGACCGATCTGCTGGATACCTGTGCCGAACCGTCCCGATCAAAATGAGGAAACCCGAATTGATCGGGTAACGAGTACGGGGTAGAGAATACCCGTTTTGTTTTTACGGGTAACAGGGCGGTTACGGTTTTATACATGTCCGCCTCATTACCAGCCTCGTACCTGCCCCGTTTATTTTTTGCTATGTTTTTATTACATTTTTATTTATTATTTGTCCCACAACTACTAAAAGATGATTTTTTCTATTTTCATTGTGTATATATGGATAATAGATGTACTAATTATAGTGTATGAACGAAAGATCATAATAGAACTTAATAGTCTTATTTTATTATTATCATATTTTTTTCGTGATTAATTATTTTTCAGATTAAATATTCAAATTATTCAAAATAATTAACGTTGCTTTCTTTCTCGTCTTGCAGATATACGAATCTTTAAAGTAGCATATGAGTCTAGTGTCGTCTAGGTGATGCCATTTTTTGTCTTTTAAGATATTATCTTTATTTTTAAATATTAATAACTCATTTAATAAATCAATTACCCACGGTTACCCGTGGTTATACCCGTTACCCGTTGGGGCGGTTATGATTTGGGTAAAAATTACCTGTTGGGTAATGGGGCGGTTACGGGGCAGGGGAATTATCCAACGGGGCGGGTACAGTTATATGTAGAACCATCCCCGATCCGCCCAGTTGCCATCTCTATGTCACAATCCTGTAGACCTGCAATGACTTGTCTCGAGTATACTCCCGGTAATGTCTCTTTGCTGCGGAATACATTAGTCCACATAAATCAGAACCACCATTAATGGAATTAATTAACTTACAAGGAGCTGAGGGTGTCGAGGGCCGCTATTCAGTTGATGTCGACTTCTGATCTCGTCACAAGAAAGATTTGGTGTGTTCTAACATTATTTCAGTCAGATAGCCATTCCTCATGAGATAGGCAACCTCCTTCCTTAGTGCGATGCAATCCTCCGTGTTGTGGCTAATGTCATCATGGAAATCACATCATTCGCTTGGATCCCGCCGTCCGGTGGACTTGTCATATTTCCTGGGCCATCAGACCTTCTCCCCTAGCTTCTCCAGCGAGTTGATGAGCCCTGAAATGTTGGCGTTGAAGCAGTACTCTTGGATGATTAGTGGTAGGTTCGGGTCTTCTAGTCAATTCGTCACTACAGCGACTGGACGGTCTTCATCCTTAGCGTAGGGCTTTCCCGTCATGTAGTCATGTTTCCCGGACGAGTTGGATTTTTGCTGCCCTCCGTCATAGCTATCGTGACAATGACGAGATTGCTGGCCCTCTTCTAGTTGGATAAAAGCCAGCATCTTGGCTTGGACATCGTCAAAGGTGCGGCACAGGTACTTAGTCAACTCTCGATATAACTCCGAGTCTTTTAGTAATCCCCTCCGGAAAGCCTCTACCGCCGTTGGGATGTCACATTTGGGAATCGACACCTTCTCCTTGTTGAAGCAATGCAAGTAGTCTCTTAGTGATTCATCCCGTCGCTGGACAATCTGGTATAAGTCGCCGCTTTGTTTTTCAAAGACTTTGCTGCTCGCGAACGGCTGGTTGAACAAATCGACGAGCTCTGCAAATGAATCGATACCTTCAATCGGTAAGTTGATGAAACATGTCAGAGCTGGCCCTGTCAACCTCGCTCCAAAAGCTCTGCACATGCACGCCTCCCGTTGCTCGGGTCTGACTGAGACTGCAGCATCCGCTGTTTGTACTGGGCGACATGTTCCAATGGGTCAGGGGTTCTGTCAACCATCTTCATGGACGGAAAGACAAACTTCTCGGGGATTTCAACATTTGTGATTTATCGAATGAAAGGAGAGTCAATATAACATGTCTGCGAAGCTAGATCCAAACACGGGGGCATTCAAGGGATACCGTTGATCCTGTCTGCATCTACCGCAATTGGGAAAATATCATGGCCATCGAATCCGCCAATAAGTTTGCTTGATATGGTGATGCCATTGAGACCGTAGGATCAATCATCTGGGTATATTGCGGTCGGATTGGTGACGAGATGATTATTACCCCCGGATCTCGTCGATCGCCTTTGGTTCTGGACTGTAACGTGTTCAGGAACTCGTTGAGTCTGAGATTCTAGAAATAAATTACGTTCCGTCGGGGTTTTCGTACTGAAACGGATGGCCATTAGAAATAAGATTGGACGGACCCAGATTGTGAAAGGTTTTGGTGTTGGTTTGAGGGATAAAGGGATCGGCCGGGAGTGAGGTGTTGGTCTGCATTGGCAAACTTTAAGTGTCGGACTGTAAACCTATCGGTCCAGGTCTGACTCACAACGATTCCGGGAAGAAGCAGGCCGGAATGTTGGGAATGTGTGTTGATTCCGCAACGAGGGGTATGTACAGGATAACCTGGGAGATTACCGTAGATTGTGGCTCACCGGTTGGTGAGAGGCCTATGGTCAGGGAGACGGCCTCTGTAGTGCTGACAAGCGGTTCCGACATAGCCACGGCGAAGCCCGATTCCAACCTGGTTGCTGCAGTCACAACGTCGCTTCTTCGGTTGAGCCTTGAATCGAAAGTTATGGACACTACCGATTGGACTTGAGACCGCAAGACGCCATTCTCTCGCCGGATGAATGTGATTCGTTGAGCCATCTCCCGTTGGATTTGCTCTTTCACTACTTCGAGGTGTTCATGGAACTCCATCGATCATCAAGGAATTGCTAGTTTCTGCCATGTTCGGATTTTCTATTACACGATGCCCCACGATGGGCGCCAAATTGTTTAAGCAATATTTTGATAAGTTAAAACTAATTAAAATGAAAATTATATGTAGAACGGGTCCTCGTATAAGAACAATAAGAAAGATAACAAGTGACCAAAATATGATGTAATTTAGAGTGTTATTCGAATGAGAAGCTCCCATAGTACAATTGGCTTAACTCATATATATTGGAGAGATAATTAATACTCTCATGACCGTTTCATCCGCTACTGACGGTTGGTCCGACGACTTTGTCTGTTATGACGATTTCGAATCCGTCATAAAGGTTGGTCAACTACAATTAATATCTTCTTTAATTACATTAAAGAGCCTAATAATACATAAAATGTTACAATAATCATCATTAAGCCTTGTGAATGCACCATTAACTCATTCGGTCAACTCTCTTAAATGCAGCATAAACCGTCCAGTTTTTGCTCTAATAAAAAGTACGATATAAATTTACGGTAATTTATATCGTAAATTCATAAACACTTGATAAAATTTATAAAATTAAATTATAAAACTAGTGTAGATTAAATTTATAATTTATATATCTAAAATATGTTTTTTTGTGGAAATTACCCGCAAGGTCTCCTTTTATGTAGGGCATATCATTTACGAGTATGTCTCAGCGGTTTTTTCTTTTCACTTTTAACTTTTATATTTTCAATTTTATTTTCATATTTCACTTTTAGCCATTTTTGGCGACCTCTTCCTTATTTCACGAAGAGGAGCTTCCCGATCAACTTTCGCATTGCCTTGTTGGTGAAAGAATCCGGGAGTGTCGACAGAGAGATCGGAACATTATTTCCAGCTCTAGGAACGGGTTCCAATGGCCGGAGTTGGGCATTGATGACGGAGCTGTGTCGAATTCATCATCCCAGCGTTGTCAGTCGGCCAAACGATCGATCTGGTGGTCTCCATGCTCAGAATAAAGAACAGAGTTCCTATTTCTACATTGCACCTGAGCCGTACGCCTCTGAGAAAAGCTGTAAGCCTTTAATTTTTGAATGCTTCTCAAATATAGAGGAATTCAGACCTAGTTTCTGACGACTTCTCTACAAAACCGAACAAATTTAACCATAGGAGTTCACCCTTCATCGCATTAACCTTAACTTTCTTCTCTTCAAAACCTAGCTTCATCGGATCGAGCTAAATAGTTAACCTTCCTCAAATTCATTATCTAGTTCTTCGAAGATAAAACTCCAATGAACGATAAACTCCAATGAACACTGTTGCATCCATGTTTCTTCTGAGGGCTAGGAGAATTGAAGATAAACTCCACTATTAGATTGAGTGAGTTAAACTTCCATTTTTCTTCACTATTCATCTACTCCGTATTAATCATTAAATTCTCTATGTTTCCTTTATTTTGAACGGTCTGCATCTATTTTAGTATTTTTGGTAAGTCATTAATCCTAGGATAACAGTGTTGATTGTTATTATATGATGGTATAATGATTCATTACAATTTTTTTTAAGATTTTTGAGAAAGTTGGCTGAAGTTTTCTCCAAATTGATAAAAATTAATGAAAACTTTAATGTTTAGATTTGCATGAGCAACTAATGTCGGTGGGACTGCTGTTGGTGCAAGTCTCCAGAAATTATCAAACATTCATGTGGTTACCTGTTTCTTCTGAACTTATTTCTGAAGCATTCCTAATCCCTGAATGTGGATGTTTTTTCCTTTTAGCTATACAAGTATGTACCCGTGCGATGCACGGTGGGTGAAATTTTTGGTGGGTAAAAAATGGGTATCCAACAACAAATTGTTGGAATAGTGAATAGTCTTTTAGCCTTCAAAAGAGTGGAATATCTATATTCCCTCTCTTGCAAACGATAGATCAAAAACTCTCGCATGCTTACTTTGCGCCTACCTGAGCCAACAACAACCCTAGAACCGGAAAGTGCAATATCCTCTCAGTAACCATCCTCACCAAATGGAAACAATAACGAATACTGCAAGCCAAAATATGCAGGATTAAGTTCATTAATACGCCGCAACTTTCTGGTTTGGGTCTCCACCTAGACATCTCTCTCACCCATAGACTCATCAAAGTCTCCCACAACTAAAGCCGCAACCTCTGATACCGTGGGGAGGTTATACATTCTTGCATCACTACGGTGCACAGTGTGTTGATACCCCCATCAAAAGTTACCTCACGGCTTTCAGCCCTAGTATGCACCCGTGCGATGCACGGTGTGTGCATTTTTTTATGGGAGTATAAACACTGTTAGACATGAAAATTTAATTGGTTATAAATTAAATATCATACATTAGACAATTAAGAACTAAAATGGTAATATGTAAATTTGTTGTAATATGTAATGTGATTATGATACAATGTGAAACGTTATAGACTATGAAACACTTTTTTTATGTAAACAACATTCATCGCTTCATCCATTGGGCATTCATCCTCATTTTGAATGAGGATTTTGAGACCTGCACGATTGGTAACTCTTGACACGGTGATATATAATTGTCTATGGCTGAAAACTGAATTTTTTAATATAAGACCAACGTGAGAGAGCGACTGACCTTGATTTTTATTGATACTCATTGCATAAGAAACAATAATAAGGATTTGTCTCCTTTGAAATCTAAATGGCAACATAAGAAATCATATAATACCCGTGCGATGCACAGTGGGTGGTCATATTATTTTATTCAAAAGTTTATCTTTAGATATTACGGACTACTAAAATGTAATTAAAATTACTATAAGAGTTCGTTTGGTCATTTGTTTTCAGTTTATTAGCCAGTCAATTAGTTCGTTTATGAAACTCATATTTTTATTTCATGGGCTGAAATATATAATACTCTGTAATCAAAATAAGTAGGGTCAATGTCACTTTTCTTGCTGAATTGACTAAAATTACTATAAGGACCAGCCATTTTGGATATTTTTACAATGTATTACATTAATAAGTTATATTTTGAATTTAAGTTTTCCTTAACTCATCAGCAGAGTAATGCAATTCACTCTTTTCAGACAGAATTTTATCAATTTCAACCGTTTCAGCCTATTCATTTCATTTCGGTGTTACCAAACAGGTGCAAAACATGTTATCATGTATAGTCACCATATATAAAACTAATAATGACTATTACAATCACTATTATAATTACAAAAGTCACATTTTTGCACTTGTGCGATGCACGATGTGATTGTTCCCAATGTACTCCCTCCGTATCAAATTAATTGACCCGTTTCTTTTTCACGCAGTTTAAGACAATTACTGTAGACTTTATTAAAAGTAAGAGGTTTTTGGTACTGTAGCGACACTGTAGCGGTACTGTAGCAGTACTGTAGCTGCTTTTTGAGTGGGATTCTTTCCAATAAGGGAAATGGGTCAATTAAATTGATACACCAAAAAAGGAAAGTGGGTCAATTAATTTGATACGGAGGGAGTAGTATATATGAGCACTTTTTTTTTTACGTAAAATGCAAGACAATACCAAATTTTTAAACAACCTGAAAAAAAAACCTAATAATGTTGTTTGTTGGGTAAACTATGCCTTGTTCTATGTTAAATAATACTCCCTCCGTCCCCCTTATAATTGTCCCATTTTTTCATTTTTGGATGTCACTCTATTATTGTCTCATACTCATACAATATTTGGTAAATATTGTGTGACTCTAATTCATTCTTACTTTATTACGACTTTATCAACTCATTATCAACTATATTAATTAACTTTCTTAAAACCCGCACCACTCTTTTCCGTCCCAATATTAGAGGGACGGAGGGAGTATTGATTAATGAAACAAATCAATGATTTCCTTGAATTGATTAAACTACCCCCCTCCGTCCCAATATAAAAGGCACATTTGCGTTTCCACACATTTTTAGGGTGAACACTGTTTGGCACTGTTTGGACACTGTTTGGCACTGTTTTGCACTGTTCTGTTTGCCAAAAAGGGAAATGCGGCTTTTATATTGGGACAGCCCGAAAAGGAAAGTGTGCCTTTTATATTGGGACGGAGGGAGTATGTTTAATTGTGTTGTACACAATTAAACAACCGTCATACCATTGAAGATTAGGCCAATAGCAATAAAAGAAAGATATAAGCCAATCAATAGAATGATTGAAGTCATGAAATGATATAGATATACTATCTTGTAATGTTATATTACAAATAAGAAGTGGCAGAATGTGTTTTTGAACCAAAGGTTAAAAGACTATAGGTAGCCTTATTTTTATTAGTCTTATCTACTTGACAATTTTCCAACCCCATATTCTAAGAAGTTTTCATTCCAATTATTCACATAAATGACTTAATTTTTAGATAAACATCTATCAAATAATGTTTTCATTTCCCTAAGCTATCAAAAACTTCACTACCCCGAAGTTGTTTTTAAAACATAAGCCTTGCACCCAAGTTTTAACTTTAAATAGAAGATTAATTTAAATAGCAGGTGTTGTGTGCTATAGTAAGTTTTATATTCTATGATTCTTATCTTCTTTGAGCATTTTTGTTAATATGGTATTTATATAACCAAATTGACTAACTTGTAATTGGGTGACCTTAACAAATACTCACAATAGATTATGTTCTTTTTGTACTTATCCTTGGTTCTTTTGTAGGTGGTCAAACTTGAGATTTATGAAGTATTGTTCCAGTAAAATAATAAAACAAAGGAGTAATCCGTTTGATAAGTTAAACGGCCTAAGGGCTTGTTTGCAAATTAAACTCTTAAACTAAGTGCTCGTGACTTTTTTTAAGAAAAAAACACTTATTTTATCAAACACTGTCAACTTTTACTTTTCTCAGCTTTAGGTAGAATCTACTTTTTTACTTTTTCTATTACACAAAAAGCACTTATTTTACCAAACACTACCAACTTTTACTACTAATCACTTTTTCCCAAATAATGCTTTTATTTAAGCACAAGCACTTGCAAACAAAGCCTAAAATAAGTTACTCGGTATTTCTCAAAGTAACCCCAACCCCGAAACCCTTTCTTTCGGTCCAACAACTATCCCACACTATATATAGACGTAATTTTTGGGAGCATCGGTTTGTCATTTTCCCGAATACATCAATTGAGTGGCTAACAACACACCCCGGTTCTTTTCGTCTATCTTCTTTTGATAATCCCTTCTATTCTCTCCTGGTTCCTCGGTCGACAATAAAAAACCCATCTCTTCTCCGACAACCGTCACACCTTTGTTTTTTAAACCCAAAGAAACTCTTATTTAATCAGAAACACTTACTTGATATACTCTCCCCGTCCCTTAAAACTTTTCCAACTTTCTTTTTTGGATGTCCCATTAAATTTGTCACTTTTTTTAAATAAAGTTCGTGGTTCCAATTAATTCTCTCTCCTTTGAACAAACTTCAATTATACAGTTTTCACATTATTAATCCTCGTGTCGGTCAAACTTGATAATGCTTTAAAGGATAGATAATATCAAAATTGATTCGTGTACAATAGATAGGGAGGACATAAGCCCAGCCCTATTTTAAAAGAAAATTGAACAAAAGGCAAACATGAGACTAAAATTTACGGAGTACAAAATGGGCCATGTGGGCACTCGGTTAGTCCAGCCCAAAGGAATTTTCGCTGGCTGAGACATAATAAGGCCAAGGAAATAAAAGTCGGCCAACCCTAGGAATGTTATGCGAACGGGTTTAGAGATAGAGGGAGGTGGGAGATTCTGGGAGTTTCTTGGTTTCTCCGACGTATAACCCGCATCCCAGAAAGGGATGGCGCGGATGCGGTGGAGATCGAAGTGAGATGGATGACTTCAATCTAGCGAAGTGCCTGGTCTTGGATTTGCTGGAGTGAGGTCTTCATTGATGAGAACTGTTGTTCAAGCCCCGTCGGAGTTGCTCGTGGCTTTTGTTACGATGTCGTCCAATGGTAGAGAGTCGTATGTATCAGCCATCAGGTGAGCTTTCCGGTTCCACCGACTTACTGTTTGTCTTTCTTGAATGAATCTGACCGATTGAAGTTTTGTGTCGTTCATGTAACCGTTTGATGGGTTCGTTGTTCGAAGATTTGAAATTCCTGGGTTTGGATCTGTTGTCAATCTGGTGTTCCTTAGGCTCATACTCGGATCTAGACTCCTTGCTCGATGATAACTTGTCGACAATCCCACCCCCTATTATCTCTTCTACGGCGACAGTAACACCCCTATTATCTCAGGATGCCTCAGACAGATATTTTCTGATCTGTAAGTTGGGCTATTTTTTCACAAATGTATTTTAGTCACAGATATTGCTTTCATGCATGATAAGTTTTACCCCTGATTATTAGTGAATAATTAATGTGAATCAGTTTTTGACCGACCACATCTGAACTGTTTGAACTTTTGCCTACACATAAATTAAATTTGATAGTTGCTTTTAGTAAAAAGAAATATATGTTTTCAGATCCATAATAGGACCAATTCAGACTCACTAATCTGCTAAATAAAAACATTTTATGATAGGGAAAACTGCTATTTAAAACATTCTGGGAGCATTAAGAAGGTTTGGATTAGTATATGTTTTTTTGGTAGTCTTTTTTTTTAAATACACACACCAAGATTTTGAAATTGATAATAGTACTACTCCGTTCTAAATGATATGGAGTAACAAATATGTCTCGTAATCATATATAATTGCATATCAGACATGTTTTAGAGCACTTTTATTAAAAAGACGAACACAATACTTTTTACTATGCTCATATTAAATGTATGATGAAAATATTAAATATCATCTAAGAATAATTTAGTTAAAGGAAAGCCATCGTTGTGCAGAGTTTACTTTTTATTGACAGTGGCAGAATCTGGTTTTCAAGTGAGGGTTTTTTACACTCTGGCTAGCCCATTTTTTTTAAGTATGAACTACTTTACACATCTCTTACATAATATTATAAGAAAATGTCATTGACATTACTCACATACCTGTGTATTTTTTCAATTTTTAAACATTGTTTTCATTTCACCAGGCTATTGAAGAACTAACTAACTCCCACTTAGTTGATTAAGACAATCTCTTTAGTTTATTTGGTAAGTGGTGTAATATTAGGCTTATAAGACTGCCTCTGAAAACTTTACCTATGTTCTACGCTGAATAATATCAAATGGATGAAGATGCACGTACTATAGCATGTGTTATCTGCTATAGTAAGATTTATGTTCTATGTTTTGTATCTTCTTATACCTTTTTTGCTAATCTAATATCTATATACACAGCTCCTCTTAGCTTGTAATAGGATGTCCTTATCTTTAATTTTTTGTTGTAGGTGCGCAAACATGAGATTTATGTGGTGTTCCATTTAATCCAAAAATGATTGGCCCAGTAATCTCCGCCTCTCTTTTACACATAATAGCTTCAGCTAATGAAATCAATCATGCTATCACCCTGAGGCCTTTCCTATCCATTATTATGAAAGTTTCTATGATATAAATGTCTTCTACTATAATATAAGACTAATTTTCTATGCTTCAGATTTTTTAGAAGCACAATTTTTGAACTGATATCAATGGGACATTTCCCATTAACATGTAATCGCTTCATGCTAACAAATACCCAAACACAAAATATTTGAAGTAAGATTTATGCTATCTAATTAATATATAAAATATACACTTAAATAGTAAAATAGAAGTACATAAATGTAGTTTTATAAAGATCTCATGTGTGATCTTTTCAGCAAGTGTTCAAACTTGGACTATAGGTATTTTAATCATTAATGTTAAAAATGAATAGGACATATGTAGCGTTTTATGCACTAAAGTAAATCAACTATTTGCTAAAACTGGCTAAACTGTACTGATCTCTTACCTACACTTGCACATAAAATCTACTGTTGATCACCTCTCATCACAAATCTCAACGTTTCTTCTTAAAATATTCCCATTCTTATATAACCAACTTGTCCACCATACGTATTGTCATGTTAATGGTTTGCTATTGGTTTTCTAAAATCTAGAATTTAAACTGCAATGTGATAAAAACAAACATTTACTTCATTTACTCAACCAAGCCAAGCTTTAATATCTTTAAAATATGAATTTTATGCAGATCAATTAATACATAATTACAAATCGTAGAATGCATAAATGAAACCCAACATAAAACTCCCGCTTTTTCATATAATTTTGATAAAGATCATCAAAATTCCAAATCTTCATCGAAATTTCGGTTTATGTTTGCATGAACTACAAATGGAGAGACCGTTGCTGTGTCTACACATCGCTTATACTAATACCTCTTGTTGAATTCCATTTCTCATCAACAAAAGATAGTACATAACGACATACATACATAGTACTCACACCAACTCACATGAAAACATACACATATACGGTTGATATTCTTGCTTGCAACCTCGGAACTTAAGTGAAAGAGGTAAAATGTTTGAGTGTGGTGTGTCTTTTTGAATCCAGGTTTCTACCATTTATAGGGGGAATAGATGATCCTTCCTAAAGTAGCTTCACGTGTCCCAAGGAACAGGCTGGCTGAATTTATGAGCTGTTTTTTTTTCCTATTTTTTCGAATTTTAATAATCCTTATTTTCATGGAGATGTGTGTACGCATGCCTCAAGACAGGCTGGCTGGTTGCTGCTTTTTATACTACTCCCGTCCCAAGGGATAAAGATGCCTAAAGTCCCATCACCTTTTACTTTTGCCACTGTTTACTTTTACTGTAGACCTTTTATTATAGATCATGTATATCATCTCGAATTCCATCATTCACTCTTGTTGTGCAATTTTACCCTTCAATTTTACACTGCGCAGTGTTATTTATGTGATTTCCAGCAATGCACTTTTTACCTTAGGACTATGGGCGGGAACACTGTTTTTTGAACAGTAAAAAAAGATTTTGCTTTTATAGTATGATAGACAAGTACATAACAGAACTTTTATTGAGTGGAGTCACTCTTTCATACTCCATACATTTTCTAACTATTAGTACCACTATTACTTTTTCATCATACTTCAGTTTAGAGTGTGGATGATTTTTGTGTACTTTAGCTATGGTATTAGTTAAGGTTTGTGTTATCAACTCATAGATAACAACACCAAACTTTTAAGAATTGAAAATTCAGTTTATATAAGCAAGTTAGAAAGTATTTGCAGCAATTGAAACTTGGACTTTTGGATTAATGAATTGGATCACTTCATGCTCCTTGAATATGTTCAACGTTTCTATGGTAGGAATGGAATTCACACCTATTCTCTTTAGTGTGCTTTGAAGCCTTTTGTCATCAGTTGTATTTCTCTTGTGAGATGCCTTCTTATTTACTCTATTTTGGATTAATCCTAGTGAAATGTACTTTCATACCATTTTGTGTGAAATATACACGCAAATACACAACACATTTGGAAATCACCGGTTCATTGTCGGCCCTTGTTCTTTATCTTAGAGATAAAAATAAGAAGTAAGCTCCTAATTTGTGCAGTTGTGGGTTTTATCTTGGAGGATACTCCTATACTGCCTTCCCATATATCTATGATGTTCATTACATTAGCAGATTAAATTCATTTTAGGAATGAGAATGGTTTGTATTCCCCCACTAGATTCTTGGTTTCATCTCCCGTTAGTGTTCTAAAGATGGTTAAAATCAATATTTTTCATCTCCCTATATTGAAAATGAGGACTCCTATCATTTTTTTTATTTATAATTTTGCAGGTTCTGAAACCTCTCATACCAAGTAATTGTTGTTCTTATTCAGTTTTTTATTAATTCTGTCCTTGTTACTCTAATGTGGAGTATGAATCATTTAGAAACAACCTAAAATCGGTGATATACAAGTATGTCTTCTTCATGTCATTCTGCATTTCTTTTATAAATAACACAACATTATTTGTAGTTATGGATCAAGAGTCCGACTGCTATATTGTCTTCATAGTTAATGTATTACCATTGCAGGTGCAGGAAAACATATATACACTAAGATGATAATTAAGAAGATTCAAAGGATGAACATACAAAATGAAGACGAAAGTGTCAAGCCCCCTGTACAACCTCCCGCCATGCTATGCCGCCTCTAGGTGGTCTTTATGGCCCACCCCGTCTTGGAATGCAGCCTCCTCAGAATCAGCAGCAGTAAACTCTCAGTATGTATCATGATGAATTGTGGCCATTTTCTTAGTCGTTGTTGAAGTTTTATTAATAATCTTATCAAAAAGATGTTTGGTTCTTGACTTCTTGTGCTCATTATGCTCTCCCTTTGGTTGAGTTGGTTCAATATCCCTTCTTCGATTTGAGGCTTGCTTTCTCTATATAATACACTGTGTAATGGATAGATGCAAACATTGAAATGATAGATTGAGTTATTTAGTTGTGATAATCTTACATATTGTTTATTGTTGCTTTTTGTTGCATTTTACATGTTGCTTTTTGTTTCATATTGTTGCTTCTTGTTGCATCATGTTTCATTTTGTTGCATTGTGTTGTTTTTTGTTACTCATTTTACACTTTTATTTTATTTTTTATTTTTGTTGGATTGTTTATTGTTAGTGTATGTTTACTTTTGTATTTAACAACTCTATCCACTTGATGTATGCGTTCCGGTTTGTGTACACACGTCTAATACTAAAATTGTTGTTCTAAAAAAAAATAAACAATAAGAAACATGACTAAACAATAAAAACAAAATATAAAAAACTAGCAACACAAAGCAACACAAAGAAACAAAATGCAACAAAAAATAATAATAATACAATACTAGTAATAATAAATGTTTCACAAATAAAAATAAACAAAACTTATGTTTTTTGTATTTTTAACATATCTTTCTACATTTTTTACTATTTAAAAAGTTAAATTTTTTTATTTTCTCTTTTTCTTTTAGATTTTTATAAACGTATTGGATATACATATTTATAATTTTGAAATTTAAAAATACTTTTGCTTTCATAATTATCATGAATTTCTGAATTTTGATTTTCTTATTTTTTCATTTTTACAATTTAATATTTTTGAGAGTTTTGTCTATACTTGTTAGTATTATTGTTATTTTTCATTTTTTTTAAGATTTCTTCATTTAAAACAATTCCAATTATTTTGATGATTTTTTAATTAAAATTTAGTTATTATTTTTATTTGATTATTTATTTTTATTTATTTTTATCAATTTATTATTTTATAATTTCTAATTTTGAGAAAATGTTCAATTTATACATATTCTTTTTTTCTTTATATCATCTCTAAGTGGAAAGTAACGCGGTACATAGTATACTCCGTATGTCCGTACACTTAAGAGTTAAGTGGGGCTTTACGAATTACGGAGCAAGAGTGAGGTGGTTTTACCGTTGTAGAGTTCAGGTCTTTTTTGGGATAAGGGTCAGTTTGGTCCTCGAAGTTGCAAAAAAGGGGGTCAAATAAGTCCTTATATAGAAGATTCTGTCCGGACGTGCCATTTGAGGTGGCTCCTGGTAGAATTTTTTGATGAAATTTTTTGAGCATCTTATGCATTAAGTCTAGTTTACTCATACTAAATTTCAGATAAAAATTCAACCGGGAAGACATTCAAATGAGTTCTTGAAGATAACTGTGCCGTTAAAAGCGCTGTTATCTTCAAGAATTCATTTGAATGTGTTCCCGATTGAATTTTTAGCTGAAATTTGGTATGAGTAAACTAGACTTAATGAATAAGATGCTCAAAAAAATTTATCACAAAATTCCACCGGGAGCCACCTCAAATGGCACGTCCGGACAGAATCTTCTATATAAGGACTTATTTGACGCCTTTTTTGCAACTTCGAGGACCAAACTGACCCTTTACTCGGTCTTTTTTGAAGGAAAAATTCCCGACTAAAACAAAGTGAGTTTCTTGAAATGTGACTAGTTACGTTTTTTTCTCGAAATATGACCAAAAATCGAAAAAAAAAAGAATTTTTCGTTATATTAAATTGTGGAAGGACAAAAATACCCTTTTTAAAAAATATGCATTTTACACTAATTTCGTTCGGGTAAAAATATTGCACTTCATGAAGGCGTTATTGCACTACATTTATTGCACTTTATGGCGGTATTCATTGCACGACATAACATTACATAACATGAATTTAGCGTTTTTTTAGATTTCATAACTTTAGTTCTTACATTTGGTTAAATATTACATATAATGCTACGAATTTATAGATATTTTTTCATGTCATTTTTAATGCACTTCTTTTCATGTCATTGCACTTTTTACATTATTGCACTTCTTGTCATATCATTGCACGTTTTGTCATAACTCATTGCGCTTCTTGTGATATTCACGGCATTAAATATAAATTATTTAATGCACAACAAACTTTTAACGCATTCATTTAGTGCCATGTACAACATATAAATTGCCATATTCACTTCCATATTCAATACTTATTGTTATTGTTCACAATAAGAATTGCATCAGCAACATACGAATGAAGCACTATGTATCAAACAATTCTATCAAAACTCTTCTATCACGTATATTTTCTAACTCATTCATTCACAGCTTTGTAAAAAAAACTTAATCATTCACTGCAAGAGTTCATTGCACAAGAAGAAGAAAGCAGTAATATGCCTCCATTGCCCACCAAGTCGCAGCCCACAAATCTGCCTCCATCGCTCACAATCGCGACCCGCGGATTTGCCTCCATCAGCTACCAATCTGGACAAATGTGCTTCCACTGCCCACCAAGTCGCCGCTCATATCTCTCTATCACCCACCAATCACTTCCCATGAATTTGACTCCATCGGCCACCAATCTCTGCCTCAATTTGGACGAATCTACTGCCATCGCCCACCATGTTGCCACAAATGAAGTCGCGACCCTTGAATCTGCCTCAATCGTCAGCCAATCTGCGGTGACCGTGCTATTGGGTAGCAGCAGACGGAGGGCCAAGGACGGCGGCGGACAGAGGGTCGGGAACGGCGGAGGCAGGGGCGTGCAGAGGGGATGGGAGGCGGTGGAGACTGGAGGGCAGAGGTTAGGGTTGGGGAAAAAAGAATAGGAGGTTAGATTTTTATAGATATATGTTAAAGGGTATATTTGTCCATAAAAAATATTTATTATTTAATTAATACGAATTTTAATTAAATAATTCGAATTTTAGTATTATATTGGGAAAAAAACAGGTTAAGTCATACATTGGGAAACATACTAAGTTTTAGTTATACCTAGGATAATTATACCTTTTTTGAAAAGAAAATGTTAGCTAGGCTCAATGTTCTAAAAGGAGCTACGTGCTAGTCGGGCGCCAGCCCAGCGCCTAGTGCCTAGGCGGCTAGGCGGGCGCCTAGTCGGGGACTAATCGGAGACATAGACATTGCATTTTATCTATATTTTTGCATAAATATGATAAGTAATATTGTATTTTGTGTGCATAAAATACATATATACATATACATTAACAAACATGCATGAATGATAGAATTATCACATTTAATCATACGTAGTACTCCATATATGATAACTGATCACTTAACTTCATTATGTTATAAGTATAAATATGTTATCACATTCATACATAGTTTTATCTTAATTTACATCTTCATTTCTTTATATCCATGACTAAAGTTAAAGTATGTATATCGCTTAGAAAATTAAAATTAAAAAGCGAAGTAATGTTCGGCGAATCTAGACGGCCTAGGCGGCCGATTAGGCGCTCTAGGTGGGCAACTAGGCGCCATAGGCGGCCGACTAATTAGTTGGAGCGCCTAGACGAAAATCGGGGCGCCCGACCACCGCCTAGCGCCCAGGCGGGGACTAATCGGGCGCCTAGAACGATTTTTAGAACAGAGGCTAGGCTATTTTTGAAAATAACATTCAAGAGTGAAAATTGTGATATTATTTCAGTTTCGGTCTGTTTGTGAAAAAATCCCCTTTTTTTAGGAATTTAAAATACGTTTTTGAAAAGTCCGATATAAATTTATGATAATTTAACGACATAATATCGTAAATTCATAAACACTTGATAAAATTTAATTATCAAATTAAATTATACTAGTATGAAATTTATATGTCTAGCATATAAATTAACGTCATAAATATGTACGAAAAAACTTACTTTCATAACTTCAAATTCTAACATACTGTATAATTTAATTTGAGTACGAAAAAAACAGTATATATCGTACTAGAAGACTCATCAACGAAAAAACAATATACTTCAATTCCTATAATTTTATACAATACTAGAAGTAATTACTTGTTGTACTTCCATAAGACTAATATTCTGACTATATTACTTCACTACAAACAAATTGTCATATACCAACGGTAACAAAACCGTTGGTATAGATATAAAAAATTGTTGGAATAGACATCGTTTAGCTATACCAATTGAAATATGTGCAATTCCAACGTAAATTTGAATGTTACTATATGTGTGGTCGGTATAGACCAATACCAACATATTTTCTTACCGCGGGAATAGCTAATTAGCTTGTAGCCTAGCATACTAGAAGACTCAATAATTTATACGTATATAGGGTTTGAACTTAATGAATCGATACCTGTCTATGATATAGTCGAGCCCGAATCTTCCTTCCAAACATGTTGACAAAGAACCTGATGAGAAAAAACAAGGTTGATATGTAAGTCTATAATCGATATATTAGTATAAAGAAATTGTCCAAAATGAGACTAAAACATGGACCAAACTCCAAAATGGGACATTAAGTTTTTTATTTCCCAAATAGGACTCCAGATTACACTTTTACCCTTCATCTAATTAAACCCAATTTCTCTGCCTCTCTCGATCTATTTGGTGTGTGCTATTTCTTCCGCCCAGCTGCGTGCCTACGTTTCTCCCATCAACCATCGAAGCTGTTGCTCTCCAGTCTCTATTCTTTTCCAAGTTGGCCATTGATCAAGAATAAATTCAATCCAGGGAATTGATCCACTTTAATAGTTGAAACTAGAATCTCATTAAGAAGAAGAGGGTTCAATTCCCCCAGATTGGAGCCATCATTAAGATTGGAGCCGCTGCAGTTGCTCCACCATGACAGGTAACCTCCTCTGATCTCCTCCTCCTCTTCTTCATTTTCTTCTTCCTCTTTTCTTTTTTGGCTTCTCCTTCCCATCCTCTTTGAATCTGGGTCCTTGCTTTCTTCCTCTTTAGATTTCAATTTTTTTATTTATTAATTTTGATTAATTTGGAACCCCAAAATGCCATAAATTACAAGCAATTAGAAAAATGACATTTTTGTGACATTACATTTATCAATATGACAGTATGTCATGAAACTGACATTGTTTCTCAAAAAACCGACACTTTAAACATGACATTCGTAGTTGTAAAAAATATTATTTTTTAGATGAAAAACTAAGGCAATTTAAGGATGAAAATACTGACATCATTTGGAAAAATGTCAAAAAAACATGTCATTTCTAATAACAAGTAGTTATGTCATTCTTAGATAAGCCATAAAAATGTCACAAAATGCCATAAAAATGACATTTTCGTATGGACATATGACATTTTCATATTGTCATCCTGATAAATATACTGTCACAAACGTGACAGTTTTTTCATAATAAACCATAATTTTGACATTTCAGATTATAAAAGCGGCATTTTGTTGAATAGATAAAATTCATATCAAAAAATTCCAAACTAATAAATAAAATTCAAATCCTAAAAATGAAAAGAAGAAGAGAACAGAGGATTAGAAATTTGAAGAGGATTAGAAGAGGAAGAAGAAGAAGAAGAAGAAGAAGAAGAAGAAGAAGAAGCTTGAGATCAAGAAGAACTTACCTGGGAAACTGCATTCATCGCAGGGCTGGCAAGTGGCGAACGGAAGAAGAGAAGCGCAGGGCATTTTTGGCATTCCACCGTTATTTTAGTCCTACGCTACTTCAGATTAAACTAGTAGTCCTATAATGGAATTTTTCATATGTTTTAGTCCTATTTAGGCAAATCTCTCATTAGTATACTATACATTCAATATTTCAATTATTCTAAAAGTAATACAACTTATTTACTCCGTACTTGTTAGTTCTTCCGTTACAAGATCATGATTTTTTTGAATTTTCTACTAATATATATAATCAAATTATTATGCATAAAATATTACGGAGTATTAAACATCTATTAATATGAATTTTCAAAATATTAACTTTTTATAATGTTTACTAATAATACTTAACTAAATAAAATTACAATCAAAGTTGTGTGTTGACAAACATGAAAAATGAGGAAGCGGTTCAGCCCAGTTGGTTGCCGACTCACTCTCCCTTACGGGAGGTCTCGGGTTCAAAATTCAATGGAGTCAGTTTCAGCCCTGGTGACTGTTATCCAAAATTCGTATATATCTGCATGCATTGATTAGATAAATAGAAGAAAAAGAAAATACTTGTATCGACCGAGCCCAACAAAAGCGTTGTCTCCTTAAGACGTTTTTGCCCGACACACGTAGCAAGCGTCTCCCAGGATAGAACGGTTCTTCGCTCCCAACGGGATTCCGGCGAACTCAAAGATGCAACGAAGGAAGAGAGAATTTGAGGAATTGTTTGTGAATTTTCGGATGTCTCAAAAGTGAAGACAAGGCGGGTATTTATAGAGCTCTGGCCAGGAGTCTCTTAACCCAAAAGACACCTTTTAAAAGAAAGTTCATGACCTTTCTTTTAAAACGAATGGTTGTTTCTTTTATTTGGTTTTATCCGAAAAACGTAGCAAAAATAAATCTTCCTATCTTAAGCCCGATTGTTGACTCGTCAAAGACCCGAACCCGACCGACTGACGGCGGCAGTGTATGCGTGTTAAGTATAATTTCACGCTTATCTTTCGGAGAATAATTTCTCATTCATTTCAAAATGATTTTTACAAATAATATTAATGACCATAATATTAATTTGTAAAACCATTTTTCCAACAATCCCCCCACATGAATGGGAAATTGGCTTAAAGACAGGAAACATATTGGAATTTGACATGGAAAGATGGGAACTCTGCATAGGGTTAGGTAGTCGTGAAACTTTGAACCTACCTTAGTGTATATCCATCGGATTTACTGGACAATCGGTAGCACTTTGCTTTGAACCGTCAGCCATAGTGTAAACCTAGACAATGAATAACACACAGAGCCCCGAGTGCATCTTTGGTTCTCACGTTTGTGTTCGTTTCGGCCTTGAACACCTCCTGGTTCAGCTAGTGTTTTCGAGAATATATCGTGCACCGGAGAATTTATCTCGTGCCATAGATTCTCATAGAAGCGGCCTTCTTCCACCAGCATAGGTGATCTCTATGGAAGGTATCATGCCATACATTACTTGAACATATCAAGATATAGAGATCATTAAAAGCGTAACTTACCCTAAATGCTCATGGCATGAGTGTACTATATCTTGGCTAGTACCGCCCGAGCCAGTCCACAGTTGTGTTTTCCCTTTGAACCTGATTATGAGGCACTCTCAATAATAGGTAGGGTTTCCCCATGGACTTTTATTAGATCATTGGCCATAGGCCCATCGCTCTCCTTGACGTCTCGACCAACTCTCTCTGTAGAGGTTTGGTTAGCGGATCCGCAATATTTTCTTTCGACTTAACATAGTCAAGAGAGATGATCCCATTTTTAATTAGTTTTCTAACGGTATTATGTCTACGACGGATGTGTCTAGACTTACCATTATAAACTGCATTCCTTGCCCTTCCAATTGCAGCTTGACTATCACAATGAATGGATATTGGAGGGACAGGCTTTTCCCAACAAGGAAGATCTTCCAAAAACTCTCTCAACCATTCAGCTTCTTCTCCAGCCTTATCTAAGGCAATGAATTCAGCTTCCATGGTAGATCTTGCAATACATGTTTGTTTGGAAGATTTCCACGACACAGCACCACTTCCAAGGGTAAACACATATTCACTTGTTGATTTTGTATCCTTGGAATCAGATATCCAATTTGCATCGGTATATCCCTCTAGCACGGCTGGATATTTTTGAAAATGTAAACCATAGTATTTGGTGTACATCAAATACCCAAGCAGCCTTATAAGTGCTTTCCAGTGTTCTCTACCGGGATTTACTGAAAACCGGCTTAGCTTATTCACAGCTTGAGCTATATCGGGTCGTGTTCCATTCATGACATATGTTAAACATCCTATGACCCGAGGATAGTCATCTTGTGACACACTTTCTCCTCTGTTTTTATTGAGGTGAACACTGGAATCAAAAGGAGTTCTCATGGGTTTGATATCATACTTCTTGAATCTCTCAAGCATTTTCTCAATGTAGTGTGATTGAGATAATATCAACCCTTCAGGTGTTCTGATGATTTTAATTCCTAGAATCACATCAGCAACACCGAGATCCTTCATTTCAAATCTCCTGGCCAACATACTTTTGGTAGCCTTTATCAAATTACTGTTACTACCAAAAATGAGCATATCATCTACGTATAGACAGACTATGACGTAGTTATTTTGATTGCCTTTCACGTACACGCACTTGTCAGCCTCGTTGATCTTAAATCCATTTGATGGCATTACACCGTCAAATTTATCATGCCATTGTTTGGGGGCTTGTTTTAACCCATAAAGAGATTTTACTAAGCGACAAACCTTTCTTTCTTGTCCGGGGACAATAAAACCTTCAGGTTGTTGCATGTAAATCTCTTCCTCTAAGTCACCGTTCAAGAATGCAGTTTTTACATCCATTTGATGGATTTCCAAACCCTTCAATGCAGCTATTGCTAATAACGTTCGAATTGAAGTTATTCTTGTGACCGGTGAGTAGACATCAAAGTAGTCAAATTCTCCTTTTTGGTTGTATCCTTTGGCAACCAATCGAGCTTTGTACTTTTCAATTGTTCCATCAGTTCTTCTTTTCTTTTTGAAGATCCATTTGCATCCTAGAGGTTTAGATCCAGGAGGCAAATCTACCACTTTCCAAACGTGGTTAGACATGATGGAATCAATTTCACTTTTGATAGCCTCTTGCCATTGTACAGTATCCGGTGAAGACATGGCTTCTTTATAGGTTTGAGGCTCATCGTCTAGAAGGTACACAACAAATTCTGGTCCAAAATCTTTTGATTTTGGAGCCCTTTTGCTGCGTCCCACTTCACATTCCTGCGTTATTTCGTTGTTATCTTTTATAGAATAAAACGGCCTCTTATGTGAGTTTGTTTCTTCAAAATGGGTTGGAATGAAAACATCCATGTCGGAGGAGACAACTTCACAATCTCCCTTGAAAGGGAATACATTCTCAAAGAATGTAACGTCTCTAGATTCTATAAAAGTATCAGCCAATATATCCATGTTATGGGATTTGTGGACAAGGAAACGATATGCACTACTATTTTGTGCATAACCAACAACGACACAATCAATGGTCTTTGGTCCAAGTTTTGTCCTCTTAGGTTTGGGAATAGCTACTTTAGCTAGACATCCCCACACTTTCAAGTAATTAAAACTTGGTTTATGCCCTTTCCATAACTCATATGGAATTTTGAGAGTTTTCTTGTGGGGCATTCTATTTAGAATGTAGTTGGCAGCTAAAATAGCATCCTCCCACAAGTTATTTGGTGCACGAGAACTTACCAACATGGCATTAACCATGTCTTTTAAAGTCCTATTCTTCCTTTCGGCTACTCCATTTGATTGAGGCGTATAAGGAGCGGTTACTTGATGAATAATTCCACTTTCCAAACAAATTGATTCAAAGGGATATTCATACTCACCGCCTCTATCACTCCTTAGTGCCTTAATCTTCTTGCCAAGTTGATTTTCAACTTCGGCTTTATAATGCTTAAAAGCATGAATCGCTTCATCTTTGCTTCTTAGCAAATACAGATAGCAATATCTAGTGCTATCATCGATGAAGGTAATGAAATACCTTTTCCCACCTCTAGTTTCTTCATACTTAAGATCACATAGATCCGTGTGTATGAGATCTAGCGGTTCCGTGTCTCTTGTGACAGTTTGGAAAGGTTTTCTAATCATTTTGGCTTCCACACAAACTTCACACTTATGATTAGGATCAATATGACACTTAGGCAACAAATCTAAATGCATAAGCCGACGCAAAGTATCATAATTAACATGTCCTAATCTAGCATGCCAAATAGAAGAAGACTCAACCAAATAAGAAGAACCCACTTTATTATTATTCACAACTTTGGGTACAACGGTAAGTACGTTCATTTTGAAAAGACCATCATTGAGATAGCCCTTCCCTACAAACACATCATTTTTAGTAAGTACAAATTTGTCAGCCACAAAGACAAGCTTGAAGCCATTCTTGCTAAGGAGGGAGCCCGAAATCAGATTCTTACGTATGTCAGGGACATGAAGCACATCGGTCAAGGTAAGTGTTTTTCCACTTGTCATCTTAAGGACAATTTTGCCACGACCTTCTGCCTTTGAAGTGGATGAGTTACCCATAAAGAGTTGTTCTTCATTATCAACGAGTTGATAATCGGAGAACATCCATTTGTTTGCGCAAATATGACGGGTAGCTCCCGTATCAACATACCACTCCTTGGTGTTTCCCACCAAGTTGCATTGAGATATAACAGCGCATAAGTTCATTTCATCCAAATCTTCGGAGAGGTTGTCCACCATGTTGACTTGACTGCTTTTCTTTTTCTTTGGGGCACGACAGTCTTTCGCACGGTGACCAGGCTTGCCACAATTGTAGCACTTACCTTTAAATTTCTTTGACGAAGGCTTGGCTCCACTTGTTCCTTCGTCGTTGTTCTTTCTCTTCTTCCCCTTCTTGGATCCCGCTTCCACCATGTTTGCTTTAGCATCCATGGAACTTGATTTATCGGCTTTGTGCTCCGATTTGCGGTTATCCTCCTCTATCCTTAAACGAACAATGAGCTCCTCTAGGGACATTTCCTTACGCTTATGCTTCAAGTAATTCTTGAAGTCTCTCCATTTGGGAGGTAATTTTTCAATTATCACCGCCACTTGGAAGGACTCACTAAGGGACATACCCTCAGCGTGAATTTCATGAAGGATAAGTTGGAACTCTTCAACTTGAGAAACAACCGATTTGTGATCAACCATTTTAAAGTCCAAGAAATGCCCGACAATAAATTTCTTTTTTCCGGCATCCTCGGTCTTGTATTTTTTCTCAAGTGATCCCCACAATTCTTTTGTCGTCTTTATATCGGCATACACGGAGTACAAGGAGTCATCGAGTCCATTTAAGAGATAATTTCTACACAAGAAATCTGAGTACTTCCACGCATCCACCGCGGCTACTTTCTCCTTATCAGTCTCGCCTTCCTCTAAAACAGGCTGGCTTTCGGAGAGACACTTAGCCAAATTCAACGTTGTTAAATAAAACAGCATTTTCTGTTGCCAACGTTTGAAATCATGACCATTGAATTTGCTAGGTTTCTCCCCGTGAGAAGAGCTGATCGGGACAGTAGTGAGCGGTGAAACTTTTGGAAAAGTAATGTTTGATTCGTCTCCCTTTCTGTTTACAAAAAACAGACGGATTCAAAGGTTGGAATTAAATTTTGAGAATCAATGTATATACACAAAGTATATAGGCCGAATAAAAGTGCAAAGATTTCACTAATATGCACACGATATGATAATGTAAACAGTCGCTAATACGTTTAAATGTATAGAGCAACTTGATAAAATTGTAAGTGATAATTAGTTATGGGGATAGAGAATTTGGCAATTTGCATGTCACATTGAATTAGTAAACGATGTAGGAATGTTAATAAGTAGAAATACGAACATGCATGTACATAGAAGTAAACGACATGTACATTCATAATGATCAAAATAACCGCTGGCAGAATTGTGAAATGTTAATAACCAATTAGAATAAAAATGATATGCCAGATAAATATTCTGACGTGAGAATGAGAATAATACTAATTAAGTTAAGATATTAACCAACACGATCAGATTGTAAAGGATGATAATAAAACAAAACTACTTAGTCAGAAAGGAGAATTAGCCAATAACAATTAATTTGCATGCAAACTCATATGCAAATGATATGACGTATCCATATACAAATGATACATGCAAACTCATGCGAAACAGATGTGCACACACGCACACACAAAATTCGTACTGCAGATTACCGAAAGTAGAAGAATTAACGCATACAAATTTCATAATGATACTAAAAAGAAAAACGTCTTAAGATTGTTATCCAAAATTAGTATATATCTGCATGCATTGATTAGATAAATAGAAGAAAAAGAAAATACTTGTATCAACCGAGCCCAACAAAAGCGTTGTCTCCTTAAGACGTTTTTGCCCGACACACGTAGCAAGCGTCTCCCAGGATAGAACGGTTCTTCGCTCCCAACGGGATTCCGGCGAACTCAAAGATGCAACGAAGGAAGAGAGAATTTGAGGAATTGTTTGTGAATTTTCGGATGTCTCAAAAGTGAAGACAAGGCGGGTATTTATAGAGCTCTGGCCAGGAGTCTCTTAACCCAAAAGACACCTTTTAAAAGAAAGTTCATGACCTTTCTTTTAAAACGAATGGTTGTTTCTTTTATTTGGTTTTATCCGAAAAACGTAGCAAAAATAAATCTTCCTATCTTAAGCCCGATTGTTGACTCGTCAAAGACCCGAACCCGACCGACTGATGGCGGCAATGTATGCGTGTTAAGTATAATTTCACGCTTATCTTTCGGAGAATAATTTCTCATTCATTTCAAAATGATTTTTACAAATAATATTAATGACCATAATATTAATTTGTAAAACCATTTTTACAACAGTGACTCCAGGCCCTCCGGGCCCCCCTCCCCCAGACGCCCCCTGGAGTAAAAAAAAAGTCAAACGTGAAAGACAAACTATTACAATTTAAAAAAAGCGAAGCTATTATTTAATCATATGAGAAGTATATGTTGGAATAAATACATTTGTATTTTAATCTTTATATTAAAATTATCTAGAAAAATAAATGAGCGGAAGCATACCCTATCTATTAGAGATGATCTTTACATATCCGGGGAAAACAGATGGTAGAGTTTCTGTCTTCTAGTTGGTACACACGATCAGAATTCTCTCTTTAGCGATGAGATGCTGAAATTAGGATGCTGAACCATAATCAATCCATCTTAAATTAGGATCAAGCCCATTGGTGTCTACAGATTTGTGTCATTAAAAGGGAGGGCGGTGATATATATTCTCCTTTATAGTTTATCCTTGATAGTTTATCCTTGATGGATTTTTACTTCAATCTTGATTTATTTCGGTCGAAGCATATCGCTCAAGGTCAACAATCCAAGAGCAGCATCTAAGTCAATGAAATGCTCATCCACCATCAACAATAAAAACTAGAAAAGCCAAAAAGTAAGTAAACAATTCAGGTCTTTTCATCCCTTGATCATGAATGTTTCTAAAAGATTTAAAAATGGTGCTTTTCAAGTTTTTGCTTTTTTTTTTGAACGAAAGATTTTTCTTAAAATACTGAAATCATTCTCTTCTTGAAATTACTTTTACTTAAATTAAACACTCCACACTAAAAGTTTAAAATAATAGCCCAATATTAAATTAGGAATAATCGTAATTTAGACAACTCTCTTATGAAATAACTTTTCCCATTATTTTACATGGTATCAACGGTTAGGGCTTAATTTCTCTCTCTCTAAAAACCTAATACACCGCCGCCATGCATCCGGCCAACATCGCCGTTGACTTGCAACCAGAGTCGTTCTCCGCTGCGCGCGCTCTCTTCCCCTCAGGCGAATCGACGATTGGCTCTCTCTCTTCTAGCACAGCGTTGACACTCTATTCCTCAGCCGATGCAGCAGTGCAACCATCCCCTCCACGATGGCTTCGCCACTAACTTCAAAGACGTTCCAGACCTCTGCCCCATGTCACCGTTCGTCGCACAACGCCTATTCCTGCTTGTTCGAGAACATCCCCACGATGTTCCCATGACAGCCACTTGGTTTGCCCTCTTCACCGATTATTATGCGTCCTCTTCCGCGGTAGTTTAGTCCAAATTTCTTCGGTTTCACGTAATCTGGTGTATCATGGACATCTCGACGACCAACAGACCAGCTCCTTTTTCAGTCCCCAATGGCCGCAATAGCACAATCCATCTCTCTAGTATCTAATGTCACTCAGATTGTTACCACGAAGTTCAAGGCTATGAAAGATTATCTTACCTGGCGCACTCAGTTTGAATCCTTCCAGTATCCCAAGGTCTGTTTGGCTTTGTTGATGGTTCCACCCAGATACCTCTCATGTACACGATTGATTTTAATAATCGTCAAATCATTAATACTGACTATTATCATTGGTTATGGGTTGATCAAACAATTTGTTCCTGGCAATTTGCTAATGATGTCAAACATTTTTTTGGGATCTGGGATCAATTGCGAACCCGTTTTATGTCTACCCGTGGTGAAGCTCCATCTGGTGAAACTAATGACATCTTGTGGTATCCAGACTCTGGTGCCTCTGCTCACATGACTGTGTCTGAATGTATTTTAACTAATAAATCTACTTATAATGACCGTGCTACTGTTAGTGTTGCTAATGGTACTCATCTTCCCATTACACATGTTGGTAATATTCATCTTAAGACCGGCCTCTAGCTGCCCATTGCTATTAAAATCCATTTATCATGTGTCTCAAATTAAATTAAATTAAATTATCATTCAAAAATTGTGTGCTGATAACAACTGTATTTCTATTTTTGATAAAGATTCTTTTTTTGTTAAGGACAAAATCTCAGGGGCGATTCTTCTTCGGGCAACCACTAATGGCCATCTCTATCCTCTCAGCCAGAGTCCACCTTCTAGCGTAGCTTTATCATCTTTCACCACTTCTGGCCTTGTGTGGCACCGTAGTCCGTAGCCTAGGTCATTGTAGTGAAAATATTTTATGTATCTTACGTACTCAAAAAATTATTTGTAATAGTTATATTTTTCCTCATGGTTGTATTTCCTGTCGATTAGGCAAGTCTCAACGGTTACCTTTTTCAGATGCTAATCATAATTCTTTTGTTCCTTTATAATTAATTCATTTTGATGTGTGGCAATCTCTTGTTCTTTCCAACCTAGGTATTAAATATTATGTGTGTTTTATTGATGATTTTTCTCGTTTTGCTAAAAGTGGAGGGGTGGTTTTGTTAATTCTCACACGCATCAATTGTAACACCGTCCCCAAATATATTTACTTTTATGTAAATTATGGGGGTGTTTGGAACTGATTCTGCTTCTGCTTCTTTTTTAAAAGCAGAAGCAGAATCAGAATCAGTTTTCAGAAGCTGGTACCCCCAGCTTCTAAAAAAACTGATTCTGAGAGTAAATTAGAGCTCCAGAAGTGCTTTTGGAATTTCACCCAAACACTCCAGCTTCTGCTTCTGCTCCCTGAAGGAGCAGAATCAGTTTTGAGAATCAGATACAAACACCCCCTATGTATTGAACCTTGTGAAATGGTTAGTGAATTTACGAGGTTGTAAATTTTTGTTAATTCTGTTGCGTGAATAACATTGTTCTAAAACTCGCTAGGCGCTAGTCGGGCGGTTGAGGGGCGCCTAGCGCCTAGGCGGCCGACTAGGCCGATTTTTTGGCCGACTAGGCCAATTCGGCCTCTACGGTTAGGGCCGACTAGGCCGCCTAATCGGTCCGCCTAGGCCAATTTTTAGAACAATGGTGAATAGTAAATTGCACATGGGGCCCACACCGGGAGCGGGGACCACCCGATATTCCCGAAACCACATATTTTATTCATCTTGGTATAGATAATAGTTATATGGTGGTGGACATTCATGTTGGGCCATAAGAAAGGCATTGGGTTGACCGATTGGTCAAACAGGGCCCAATTACCGGTATTGGTAATTTATGAGATAACAGCCTGAAATGGATTTCGGGGACTTCCAAATCAAAGTTGGGGATGTATAATCGTTCCAAAGGCCCATTATGATGGAAAGTGAGTGTTATATTTTATTTGACCCGATAAAATAAAATATAATTAAAACAGTCTGAGAAATACAACTTTCGTACCCGATTGTACACTTTTGGACAAAAGGGGGTGACCTCCCACATGAGTGGGGGCCAACTCACGAAATTAGACCACAAATGACTAAGGGGATCCGTATGAATGAGGATGGAAAGTTAGTAGGAGGGGTTTTGAGTTGATAGGCATCAAGAGGGGACATGGGAGGACCTATTCCCTCACCCTCATTGTAGAATAAGCCAAAATGAGGTAATTTCCTCTCACCCCAAATTATCATTTCGGCCAAGACACACCAAAAGTGAGAGAGAGAGCTGCAAAACACCCACCACCATCTCCAAAAACGAGCTCAAGTAAGGGAAGAAGCAAAAGAGGTGCTTGGAGTGAAGGAAAGTGAAGAAAATGGTGAAAGATTAAGGTAATGACCTTATAACAACTTTTCTCTTTTCATTTGATGCTAATATGACTTATATGGCATATGAGGAACCCTTATTATGGTTCTACATATTTACTTATGTAGAAGGATGGGTTGGAAGGTGATTCAAAGTCCAAGAACGGACTTATAGTCAAAATTACCGCCCCGCCGGAAAATGACCTTTTAGAGGTTATTTGTATTGATATGGGTTTTGTGATGATAAAACCTTGTTAGGCACTCGTATAAGGTGATTCAATAGCTTTCACGAAGTTAAAAGAGTCACCGGAGTTATCACCGGAGTTCATCAAAGTTCGCCGGAGTTTCGTCGGAGTTCAACCGAGAAGGGGTGGAACTTCATAACGCTCATTCAAGGTGAGTGGACGGCTTAATGTCTTATAACTCTTGGGTTAATTATGAGATTACTTAAGTAAATGTATATGTGTTCATAATGATGTTTAAAATATGCTTAAACATGTGAATTGTCATAGTGATTAGGCTTATATGAATGATCCATTGACATAAAAGAAGTATGATATGAAAATGTTTATAAAAACATATATGATGTTTTAAAGGATAAAAAGGGAATTAAATTCTTGGTTATAACATAATACATGTTGGGATTAAGTTTGACGCGAATCGGGTTTGAAATGGCGAGTCAACGAAAATTTTGACTAGGTTGCCCAGGGGGTAACCGGCGCCGGTTATAGGCAAAACCGGCGCCGGTTTTGGCTCGGCATGGCTGGTTTAATTAATAACCGGCGCCGGTTATGTCAAAACCGGCGCCAGTTTAGTACTGTTTTGCCTATATGTTGATTTTTAATGCATGAATTGCATGGATGATTATGCTTAGGCCTTAAGAATTGGTTTAGTCTTGATTATTGATTATGATATAGACCTTATCTAGGATGATATGTGGTAGATCATAAGTCGGGTGGAATACCCAAGGATCAGGCGGTTATCCTCAAAACTCGGTTATAGGGTGGAGTACCCAAGGATCGGGTGTGTATCCTCAAAACTCGGTTATAGGGTGGAGTACCCAAGGATCGGGTGTGTACCCTCAAAACTCGGTTATAGGGTGGAGTACCCAAGGATCGGGCGTGTATCCTCAAAACTCGATTATAAGGTGGAGTACTCAAGGATCGGGCGGTTATCCTCAAAACTCGGTTATATTGGGTGGAGTACCCATGGATCGGGCGTGTATCCTCAAAACTCATAGATTACTATTTTGTAATTTAGGACTGGGCGGTGTCCTCATG